GGGGTTTGAACTCTGGGCTTGGACGCTGTCCCTCAGCTCTTCAGCTCAAGGCTAGCACTCTATCACTTGAGCTACAGCACCACTTCTGGTTTTCTGGTGGTTTTATTGGAGATAAGAGTGTCACGGACTTTCCTGCCCGGACTGGCTTTTGAGCTGTGATCCTCAGACCTCAGCCTCCTGAGTAGCTAGGATTATAGGCGTGAGCCACCGGCACCTGGCCTGTTTTTGTTTTTTGTGCCAGTCCTGGGGCTTGAACTCAGGGTCTGGGCACTGTCCCTAAGCTGGCTTTTGATTAAGCCTAGCACTCTACCACTTGAGCCACAGTGCCACTTCCAGCTTTTTCTGTTTATACGGTACTAAGGAATCGAACCCGAGGCTTCATGCATGCTAGGCAAGCACTCTGCCACTAAGCCATCTTTCCAGGCACTTGTTTTGTTTTTTCAAGACAGGTCTCACCACATTGCTCAAGCTGGTCTCAGACTCAAGGAATTCTCCAATATCCAGTCTCTGTCTTCCAAGTGATTGTGGCTATAAGTGTGTGCTACACCCCTGAATCTGGGGGCATGTGGTAGTGAAGTGATAAGTGATCAATTATCTTCCTGATTTCCCTCCTCCCACCTCAGTGGGGCCCATCGCAGAATCCTTGCTGGACTTCCTTCCTCACCAAAGGGGTGATCAGATCAAACCTACAGTGAGAATGGTGTTCACCACTGCAGTAGGCACACAGGAAGGCCTTTAACATTAGCAGGGAGTGGGGCCTTCCAGAACCGTATCAGTCCTTGTTTTCATCTATCAAGAGGGTCAGCTGGGACCCTTAAGTGAAGTCTCAATCATACGTTAGTACACAGGATAAAGCAGACATGTGATTGTCCCTCTCTTCCAAGGCTGGAAGGCAGGCCTTGAACACTGCTTTGGGGCTTCTGCACAGTTTTATGTAAAGACACAATGTCCTATCTGGGAATAAGAGTTTTTTTTCTCTGCTTCTGCCTTCCAGCATCATCTTTTGAATATTTCATTGCTTGTTTCACTTTATTGTATTCCTATTTGAATTAGCAAATGAAATTGAGAATTAATGAGGACAGCTGTCATGTGTTGAGTCCTGACAGCATAATGTGCTAAGTGTTCATCTCATTTCAGGCTCAGAGAGAGAAAAGCACTTTCTTAGAAATGAAAGGGACTGAGTTTTTAAATACAGGTTCATTTATCTTACTCTAAAGCCTGTATTCTTTATTTTTAAAATCAGAACTGGGTGCTGGTGGTTCATGCCTGTAATCCTAGCTACTCAGGAGGCTGAGATCTGAGGATTTGGGGTCAAAGCCAACTCAGGCAGGAAAGTCTATGAGACTCTCATCCACCAGAAAACTTTGAACTGTGGCTCAAAGTGGTAGAGCTCTAGCCTTGAGCAGAAAAGCTCAAAGGTAGCACTCATCCAGACCCTGAGTTCTAGCCCCACAACCCACCAAAACAAACAGCAACAAAAACCATAAATCTGGGGCTAGGAAGGTGGCTCAGTGGTAGAGTGTTTGTCTCACATGCATGGGGCCCTAGGTTCGATTCCTCAGTACCACATAAGCAGAAAAAGCTGGAAGTGAGGCTGAGGCTCAAGAGATAGAGTGATAGCCTTGAGCTGAAGAGCTGAGGGACAGTGCCCAGGCCCAGAGTTCAGGCCCCACAACCGACAAAACAAAAAACAAAACAAAAAAACGTAAATCAACCTTCCTTCCTCCCTTCCTCTCTCCCTCCCTCCCTCTCTTCCTCCCTCCCTTCCTTCCTCCTTTCCTGTCTCCCTCCCTCTCTACCTCCCTCTCTTCCTCATGCTCTTGGGACAGGTCCTGGGCTTTGTCCCTGAGCTTTTGCTCTCAAGGTTAGCACTGTATTGAGCAGTTCTACTTTCAGCTTTTTGCTGGTTAATTGGAGATAAAAGTCTCATAGACTTTCCTGACCAGGATGGTTTTAATCCCGGGCTGGGAAGTTGGCTCAGTGCTTGCCTCCCATGCATGAGGCCCTGAGTTCAATTCCTCAGCACCACATAAGCAGAAAAAAGCCAGAAGTGGCGCTGTGGCTCAAATGGTAGAACACTAGCCTTGAGCTGAAGAGCTGAGGGACAGTGCCCAGGCCCAGAGTTCAGCCCCCACACCCACAACCAACAACAATAATAAAAAAAGCACATACCCTGCTTTACAGCATTTCTGGGCATATACCCCAAGCAAAATGGTAAAATGTACCTGAAGATACTTGTACAAAAACATTCATAGTAATACTAGTTAATAGCAAAAAAAAAAAAAGAGAGAGAGAGAGAAAGGGAGGGAGGAAATCATCCTAGATTGTTAATCTACTAGGGTAGGCATGGACACAAAATACCATTTAGAACCCCAATCTGGAAATCTAGGTCTATCAAAATCTTGAACCTTGGGCTGGGAAGGTGGCTCAGTGGTAGAGCGCTTGCCTTGCATGCCTGAGGCCCTGGGCTCGATTCCTCAGCACCACATAAGCAAAAAGAAAAAAGCCAGAAGTGGCACTGTGGCTCAAGTGGTAGAGCGCTAGCCTTGAGCTCAAGAGCTGAGGGCAGCGCCCAGGCCCAGAGTTCAGGCCCCACGACCAGACCAAAAAAAAATAAAAATCTTGAACCTAGGTCTTACAGTACATACCTAGGTCATAGAGTACATAGGAGGCAGAGGCAGGAGGATCAAGAACTTGAGGCTGGCTTGGGATACATAGCAAAACCCTGTCTCTAAATAAAAATATTTGTTTTTAAAAAATTGCTGGGTGGGGCTGGGAAGATGGCTCAGTGGTAGAGCACTTGCCTTGCATGCATGAGGCCCTGGGTTCGATTCCTCAGCACCACATAAGCAAAAAGAAAAAAGCCGGAAGTGGTG